GCATAAAAGATCTCACACACAGTATCATCCTTATGTGATTAGAAAGGTGGACTGGTGGCTGAGACTGGGAACCAGTGGCAAATGGACACACAGATGTGTGTGTACACATAATCATACCACCTCTCACACTCCTGACATGTTGGGCCCTGGAGGGAGTGGTCATGAGGTTGTGTGGCCCTTGTCCTAAGGAGTTCATGGTCTTAGGTAGAAAGGGCAGACAGCCCAAGGAACATTTGATTGGAGAGACCCAGCAGGAACCAAGCAGTGGACCAGAGATATAGACTATGTACTAGAGGAGGACCAAAGAATGTTATCGAAAATCTCAAGAGACAGGCATTGGATTGGGTCATTATACATTGGCATGAGGGGAGGATTCAGTGGACATCACCATGGGCTTAGGTCTGATAAGACCCATAGGAATAGAAAGCAGCCCTTCTGAAAGACTTTGGCAGAAGAATCAAGATGGGCAGTGGCCACATAAGCAGTGAACTTGGCTTTGGGAAAGGTTCTGGTGGTGATGTAGCACCCAGGAGGGTCCTACCTATCTTCTGATATTTTAGACCCCTGGCTATACAGAGAAAGCCAAGTACACAGAGTTAAGCCATGCTCTTCTAATAGGTGGCCTCATTGTGTTCAGTCACTATGTGGTGTGTGGAAGTCCCCATGCTTAGGGGGAGGACTTCTATGGCTCACATGGCCCATAGGTGGGATCCTGAGTCAGGGAAAGCTGGTGGGCATGCTTGGGGCCACCAAGCAGTCTAAGCCAGACTTGGAGGGATGATTGTCACCTTGCTCCTTACTGCTCTCCAGTTGACCACCCTTTGTCTGTAGCCTTCCACAGGTGAGGGGAATAGCATTGCTGTCAGGAGCCTTCGGGCTTCCAAATTTCTGTCTAGGGAATGCGTATCGGTTTGCCCAGAGGTGAAATGATCTGTGTATCCATCAGCATTAGAAAAGCCTCCTCACTCCTGGGCCTGGTGAGGTTAGGAGTTGGGTTGATGCTCTGAGCAGTACCTTTTTCCCTGAACCAGGTAGTTCCAGTGTCTTGGGGAATTGATACAGGTCTTGGTCTTTCTAAAGCTAGTCCCTAGTATTTCTTATGCTAGTTTCCTGTGATGCAGGGGAAGAGGTGGTGAGGGCACAGCAGGCTCTGGGCCCCCACACCTGTCACCCAGACCCATTTAGCTTCACGCTGCTTCCTCTGTGTACTCTAGAGAGAATCTTTGTTTAACCAAAACCTGACTGAAAAGACATGAAAGTTCAGGGTACTCAGGGCTTGGGTTGGGTATTGTGACCATGAGGGGCTATTTGCCATCAAGCTCATCAGTCCACATGCAGGCAGTTTGGGCTCTAGGGCCTGCTCTGCTCCTCTTCTGTAGTCATACCCCAGTTCCTTTGTCAGCCTGCAGCCCATCATCCATCCCTTCTCAACATTGTGCCTCTGCTTACAGCCTGCCTATACCCCTTGCCTTACCTGCGTGCCCAGATGGACTAACTGCTGAGCCCCACCCTTCTTTCTGAGCACCTCAGGTACTCAGGTGTCCTTTCCCACTGACCTTTCCCTTCAGGGCAGAACTTCTACCCTTGCCCTTAGTTAGGGGAGGGATGTTTAAGCATGTTCCCTTGGACATGTTCCAGGAAATTCCCAAAGGAGCAGGCAGAAATAGGGGAACTGCCTGATGGGGCTGCTTTGGGGAGTAGACCTGCCCCATCAGTTYCCTGGCAGGCTCTGAGGACTCCATTTCTGCCCCTTAGCCGGATAGGCCTGTCCCTCTATAGTTCCCACCCTCCTGTCCTACCTGCATGTATGCCTTTGCTTGTCCATTCCCTTCAGCATGACCTAGTTCACCGGTTCCCCTATATAAAACCTTGCTATGCTTCTRAGGTCTCAGTGCTGTTCTCACCATTTCTGTTCAGTATTGTATTAGAAGGCCTAATCATTGTAGCAAGGCAGGACAGAGAAATGGAAGGTGTACAGAATGCAAAGGAAAAAAAATAAAACTGTTTATTCTCAAGTACTATGGTCATTATATTTTTAAAATCCCAAAGAATCTTCAGTACTAATTAGTGAATTTAGCAAGGTGCAGGATACCAGGCAAATGTATAAAAAGTATATATATGTATATATACACACACATATATTTGGCAGCCTTATCAAGAGTAAATGTACATATAATAACATTCACCCATCTAGTGTCACACTTCAGTGGTTTTTAGCATATTTGTAGAGTTATTACCATCATTGTAATTTAATTTTGAAATGTTTTCATCACCCTTCCAAAATCAATTATATTTTGATATAACAGCAAAAGAGAATTGGAAATTGATTTTTGGGGGGTTGTGCTGGGGATTGAACCCAGGAGGGCAAAGCTCTACCACTGAGCTACATCCAGAGCTCTAAGAAGGTAAATAAGATAATATTAAATTTTTTAAAAAATATTTATTTATTTATTTTTTAGTTGTAGTTGGACAGAATACCTTTATTCCATTCATTTATTTTTATGTGGTGCTGAGGATTGAACCCAGGTCCCTGCGCATGCTAGGTGAGTGCTCTGCCTCTGAGCCACAATCCCAGCCCCAAGATAATATTAAATTAATAATGATTGGAAAGATATGCCATGTTCAYAGATTAGAATAATGAATATTGTTAAGCATAATCCCAATCAAGATCTCAACAGGCCTTTGAAGGACAATGTTAAGCCAGGAGTAGTGGCGCACATCTGTAATTCCAGCGGCTCAGGAAGCTGAAGCAGGAGGATCCCAAGTTCAAAGCCAGCCTCAGCAAAAGTGAGGTGCTAAGCAACTCAGAGAGACCTTGTCTCTAAATAAAGTATAAACTAGGGCTGGGGATGTAGCTTAATGGCTGAGTGCCCCTGGATTCAATCCCCAGTACYGAAAGAAAGAAAGAAGGAAGGAAGGAAGGGAGGGAGGGAGGGAGGGAAGCATTAAGAAAAGACACATATTGGAAGAAAATATTCACAAACACGTAAAAGGATTATACTCAACGTACATAAAGAATGCTTATGTCTTGTAAAAATAAGTTAAAGGAGCCAGGCATGGTGGCACACTCTTTTACATCCAGCTACACAGGAGGCTGAGGCCAAGGATCACAAGTTCAAAGTTAGTTTGGGCAACATAGCATTATCCTTTCTCAAAAATAAAATAATAATAAAATAAGCCAAGTGTATTGGTATACACCTGTAATTCCAGCAACTTTGGAGGCTGAGGCAGGAGGATCAAAAGTTCGAGGCCAGACTCAGCAACTTAGGACCTGAGCAACTTAGTGAGACCATCTTAAAATGAAAAATAGGTTAGGGTTGTGGTTCAGCGGTAGAGCGCTYGCCTAGCATGTGCGGGGCCTGGGTTTGATCCTCAGCACCACATAAAAATAAATGAATGGAATAAAGGTATCGTGTCCAACTATAATTTWAAAAAATAAATAAAAATAAAAAAGTTTGGGGATGTATCTCAGTGGTAAAGCACCCCTGGGTTTAATCCACAGTACCAAAATAACAACAAAAACAAAATAAGACTAAAATGGGTTAAAAATTTGAATAACAATTCCATGATTTTCTAATGAACAGATGACAAATAATTATATAAAAAGATGTTCAACATCATTGGGGCAATGCAAGTTAAAACCACAATGATATTATAATATTGTATGAAAAACTAAGAAAATATGGGAGGAAAAACCCTAAAAAAAAAAAAATAAGAACTAGAAAAAAAAACCACCACTGCACACTATTAAAATGGCTAGAAGAAAAACAAAATCACTAAGTATGTTCATTTCTGGTGAGGATGTGGAACTCCTACATTGCTGGCAGAAATGCAAACAACATAGCCATTTTTGGAAAACAGTTTGGCAGTTTCTTATCAAGTTAAGCATATGTTTATCTTATGACCCAGTAAATACCACTTCTAGGTACAGTATTTACTCAAGAGAAATGAAAACGTGTCTGCACTGAGACCTCTATATAAATATTTGTTGCTTTATTCATAATAGCTAGAAATTGGAAATAACTCAAATATCATCCACTGGTGAATGGATAGATACACTGTGTTTTACAACCATGAAATGGAGTACTACTTAGCAATAAAGAAGGAAGAAATATTGATACATCTAATAACATGGAGGAATCTCAAATATGTTATGCTAAGTTCTGGAAGTCAGACACAGGATACCCCATATTCTGTGATCCTGTTTTTTTAATATATATTTATTTTTTAGTTTTAGGTGGACACAACATCTTCTTTTTATTTTATTTTTTTAATGGGGTGCTGAGGATCGAACTCAGTGCCTCACACATGCTAGGCGAGCACGCTACCACTTGAGCCACCTCCCAGCCCCTGTGATCCTGTTTATATGATACTGTGGAAAAGGCAAAACCACAGGGACAAATCAGATTGATAGGCATTGCCAGTGACTCGGGATAAGTGGAGTGGACTGACTGCAGAGAGGCCAAAGAGAACTTTTTGAAGTGATGGAAATGTCTGTCTTGATTTATTATGTTGGTAACAAAACTGTATATATTTAGATATTTGTTAAAACTCATTTGAACTATATAGTTAAAAGGAAGGATATTACTATAGGCAAATTACTCTTCAATTTAAAAATTTTGACAACATACCACATAGAATTCTGAGGTTGGGTCACTTCCAGCCCCCCTCTCCTTCCTGAGGTTTTCTCTGACCACCTCCTTGTTATATTGCTTTCCAGTGACTCCCTTCCAAATATTGGTTCCTGTTAACCACAGCTTGGAATATTCCTCATTGTGGCTGCTTCAGCCCCTCAGGGGTGGTGATTTACTGAACTCATTAACAAAGTGTGTGTTTGGTATAGCCAGACACTGTCTATAGCTGGATCTGTGAAAGGCCACAAGTGCTGACTGATGTGAGGCAGGCTGGGAGAGTGGCTGAGACCTGGTGGGGCGTCTGTGACTTTCTTGCTCCTCTCTCAAGTCCTTCTTTTCAGCTATTGCTGCTTTCTTCCCCCATAGGTTGGGACAAACATTCCTATGGTTACCATGGCGATGATGGGCATTCCTTCTGCTCCTCGGGAACTGGCCAGCCCTATGGTCCCACATTCACCACAGGAGATGTAATCGGCTGCTGTGTTAATCTCATCAATGGCACGTGCTTCTACACTAAGAATGGCCACAGTCTTGGTAGGTGCTTAAGGGACCTTGGAGGGTCTCCCCTGTGGAGCCCTTTGATTGGGAGAGACTCAAAGGCAAGCAGTTGAAATTAAAGCAGTGTCATGGAGCCTCTGCTGARCTCTGGGGAACTGCAGCCTTTTCCAGCCAGTGGAGCCCTTTAAGGTGAATGGAGTAATAGCAGGGGCATTCTCTTTGTGAACCTATTCTTTAAGCAGCATTTACTAAGACCAGGGTGGGTACAGCTCCGTTTTGGTCATGATCCTGGCCTTTGTGGTACTTGTTGGAGCAGGTTTWAGCACCAAATGAAAAATTTGAGGGGTTGAAGCACATARCTATTCGTGATGGGGGTTTGCATGCCCATGACCTGGCCTAGTAAGCCCTTCTAATGGCCAGGGTGCTGGTTGCTCCAGAGCAATAGTGAAGGCTTCACTAGTACAGAAGATAGACAAGTGGGATCTGRTGGGGCTAGATCTCCTCTGGGCTGTCCCATGATTAATGGGCAGTAGTGTGGGCAGAGTTACATTCAGAAAATCTTTGGTGAAATCATGAGGGATGAAAGGCCAGGGGAAGAGGCAGGTGGCCTGAGGTAAGGTGTTAGGTGCAGAAAATGGGGATCAAACCTGATGAAGGCCTGGGATGGCCCAGCAGGGCTTAGTGACAGAAGGAAAGGTGAGAAGGTGGCTAGGATGGTAATGCTGTTAACCAGAAGTGTAGCAATCACTGGGAGGATGGGGCCTGAAGCTGGGCTTGCCTGCCTGGGTTTGCAGGAGTGTCTGATCTGGCCACACGCTAGTTCTCTTAGGATGGTATAGTGAGGAGAGGACTTTCAGTACCGAATCAGCCAGGCCACCAAGCCCTGCAGGAAAGAGAACTAGACATTTCACTCATCAGAGGCCTGAGGAGTACCCCTAGCTTGAGGGACAATAAAAAGGTGACTGCTACTCCTTACATCCCCTCTGTGACTTCTTTAGGAGATGACCTGGCCAGCATCTGGAGACCTTAGAGGAAATCAGGTTTTCTGGTGACTGGGCTGGTTGACCAGGAGCCAGCATTCTTTGACAGAGCATGCAGGAAAGCCCAGGGAGCTGGGCAGCCAAGAGCACAGCCACAGCATGGATGCAGAGCTTTCCCGGGTGCACATCTGGGGAACCCCCCTGAAACTGCAGTTGCTGGTGTTCAACCAGTGAGAAGTTCATAGCTGGGGAAGTGGGGGAGGCGACTGGGCAGGGGCACGGGGCAAGGTCTCAAGAAGAATCTCCTTTCCCCACTCCATTTTCTTTTTTTTTTTTTTTAACTTTTATTCATTCATTCATTCATTCATTTATTCATTTATTTTTATGTTGTGCTGAGGATCGAACCCAGGACCTTGCATGTGCGAGAGGAGCGCTCTACCGCTGAGCCATAACCCCGCCCCCCCACTCCACTTTCTGATCCCAGTTATTCCCTGGCTCTGGGTTCTTCTACTGCCAGAGTCTCAGGAGCCACTGTTGTGAGCTCTCACCTTGTACCTGAGCCCTGCTTCATCTGTTTCTCTGCAGCCAGACCCAGTCCTGCCTCTTTGATTACCTGCCCTTCATATCCTTCCAGCTTGTCCTCATCTTACTCAGAGCATGGCACCTGGAGTGGCACACAAGGTGTGCCCTCTGTAACTGTACATTTAGGGCCTCATCTGTGTGTACCAGGCTCACCAAAGGGCTGAGTTCTTTCTTGACCGGGTGCCTAGATTCTACAGGGAGTTTGTGGTCACAGGCTGTTTTTAAAAACTCATCTTTCTATTGAATGCTTTTTATAGACCCCATGAAAGACCTCACATGTTGTAATTAAATTTAATCTAGAAGTAGAGTGGCTATTTTTCCAGCCTATCAAGATCTTCTATGGTCTTACTTAGTGTATCTCAGCTATTTGACATCCTTTTCAGCATTTTGTTAACCTAATTTTTTTTAAACATACGCCATTTTTTTCTTTTGTTTATTTTATTTATTTATAAGTGGTGCTAAGAATCGAACCCAATGCCTCATACATGTTAGGCAAACTACAAGTCCAGCCCTGTTAAACTAAAGTTTGATAAAAATGTTTGAGTGTGTGTGTGTGTGTGTGTGTGTGTGTGTGTGTGTGTGTGTAATTATTTTTTTAGTTGTAGATGGACACAATGCCTTTATTTTATTTGTTTATTTTTATGTGGTGCCAGGTATCAAACCTAGTGTCTCATGCATGCTAGGCAAGTGCTCTACCACTAAGCCACAACCCTGGCCCCCTTGAGTATGTTTTTTTTGTTTATTTGTTTGTTTGTTTGTTTTGTTTTTTAATGTTTTTCTAGTTGTTGATAGACCTTTATTTTATTTCTTTATATGTGGTGCTGAGAATTGAACCCATTTCCTCACATATGCCAGGCAAGTGTGCTACCGCTGAGCCACAGCCCCAGTCCCTTGAGTATGTTTTAATGAAGATATTTATAAGCTGGGTGCAGTGGCAGATGCCTGTAATTCCAGCAACTTGGATGCAGGAGGATCACAAGTTTGAGGCCAGCCCCAGCAACTTAGCAAGACCCTGTCTCAAAATAAAAAATAATAAAAAGGGCTAGGGATATAGCCCAATGGTAAAGCACCCCTGGGTTCAATCTCTAGTACAAGGCTAAGATTTGAGCCCTGAGTGGCAGTTGAGCTTGTCCAGGTATGATACCAGGCATTTACGAATCAGCTACATTAGCTTGAAATATACGTTTTTCTCTCTTATCCACAAGGATATTATTGAAACCTTACTGAAAGATTAATATGATCTGTCCCCCAAATTTTCTAGATCATGAAATTGTGAAAAGGCAGTAAAGATAGGGGCTGGGGTTGTGGCTTAGTGGTAGAACACCTGCCTAGCACATGTAAGGCACTGAGTGAATCCTCTAATGTCCTTGCCTCCTTTTCACAAGCCATCTTATCAATAATGTGCTTCAGAATCTAACCCTGCTCCCTTTAGAGAAGTAGAATGAGTTTTCTGCCATCCTACTTCTCTAAAGGGGTCTAAAGCCTCCCTGCTTCTTTCCTCTGTCACAGCACTTGCCCTAGTGCCATCTCCCAATTGACTTGTAATTATCAGTCACAAGCCATCTCTATTGCTGCAGTCAGAAGCACTGTGAGGGCCAAGCTTGCAGCTGTTTCCCCAGTTCTGTTACAGGGCATGGCTCCTGGGAGGCCTCAGCAGGTACTTGGTAAAAAGGATGAATGAGTAAATGGAGGGATATTCTGTCTACAAGCGGTCAATGTGCTTGCAGAATCATCCTCATATGGCTCTGATCTCTCRTAAGATCTTTTCTTTTCAGCCTCAGTGTCCCAAGACCTATGACTTTTTGGCCCAGGCCCCTTATTATCCGCAGGTTTGGTTACTCTCTTGGCATCTGGGATCAGATCTTGCCATCACATTGGCCTTGCACAGATTCACAGGGATCAGCAGGGCTGGGGAAGGGTGCAGTGTTGCCTGGTCTAATGCAATAGAGAGGAATAGCTTCTTTCCTCATTCTTTTGGAATCACCTCAAGGCCTTCCAGGGTGCCACTGTGAGGCAGAGATGGGCAGAACTGGGTAGGTCATCCCTAGCCCAGAAGTATGGCCATTGCCTCACTCTGTGACCCAGTTGCAGCCAATTTGTACTTAGAACTCAGTGTTTATGAAGCAGCTTTCACAGACTGTCTCGCTGAGGGATTAGTATTATCCCTATTTTTCAGATGGGCTCACAGAGGTTGGGTAACTAGCCAAAGGTCACACTGCAGTTAACTGATGAAGCCTGAAGTCCCACTCCTTCTAGGATCCTATGGATTTCCTCCATAGGCCTAGGAGTAAAGCAGCAGCATGGCCACACTGAGATCCATGGGGGAAGAAGCTCCTGGGCAATATAGAGGGGCTTCCAGATTCTGTGACACTGACCCTGAAAATGGGGCTCAGCAGTAGCCTCAGGTAGGCAGACCATGATGTTTATGACTTTTCCTCACTGGGGAGTAAAATAGCCCAGTAAAAGTTGTAAACCATCTCTCTTCACATTTTTTTTTTTTTTTAATCTGTAAACTTTCCAAGATTGTTGTGGGAGACCTTGTGTCAGACTTCACCTGTGCTGTCTTGCTGGATGTTTTTCTTTTCTGGGTGAGAGTTGGAGGAGCAGATTAAAGATCTCTCAGGAATCAGCAGTTTGAAAATCTCTCAGGCCAAAGACCTTATCCAAAAAAATGAAGGACTGTGAAATCTTGAGAGAGGCTCTATTGGCTAAGTCTGTGTCATTTCTCAATCTGTCAAATATGTGTAATCTGGTAGAGTTCTGAGGTTCCTCTCCTGGTGGACATGGGTCAAGCCTGTGTGTATATTTGGGGTCCCACTCCCTTCTGTCCTCATATTCAGTTCAGGATTGAGGTCTCTGGAAATTCAGCTCCTTCTCTTGACAGGAGGGCTTGGATGGTACACAAATCATTATTAACCTGAGCTTTGCCAACTTAGAATTCCTGGGGATGCAGAATGAGTGTAGTCTGGAGACAGACAGCTGTCACCCTCCCTGTCTTCACTTCTCCATCAGCTTAGAGACAATGTTGGAACATCAGACCTTTTGGAAAGTCTTTTAACCTCTGAGGCTTTTCTTCATCTGTAAAATGGGATAAGAATGCCCATTCCCCAGAATTATATGAGAATTGGATCAGGTAATGAATGGATTGCAAAGGATTTGACATACTCAGTAGGTTTCCATAAATGTGTTGGTTCAAAAGAAGTATCTGACCTAAAAGGCCTTTGGACAGATCACTTGGGTTTAGTTGTTTCTAAGGTGGAACAGCCATGGATAATTACCTAAGGTCCTGACTTTGCTTTTGAATAGATCACCCAGTAAAAGAAAGGTCCAGATCTAAAACTACCAGGCCTTTGTTGCAGAGGTGGAGGCGACCAAGGGGCTGGCCCTGTCTAATGGCCTGATTACTGTTCTTTCCCTTCACAGGCATAGCCTTCACAGACCTCCCGGTAAGTATGACCAGCAGGCTTCCCCCCTTCTGGGCCATTGGGGGCTGTATGCTATGGGGTGTGGTGGTACCTGCAAGTGCAGGGTGTGGAGTCTGGCCCTTTCCCCAACCAGGGATGTGTCCTGTGCTGTYAAGCTTGAGGGTGCCAGTAGGGGATACCTGCTGGCCTTCCTCTCTCCAGGAGCAAGGCCTGGTCTTCCTCCACGACTCTCAGCAGGTGACAGAAATTTGTGACATTTATAAAAGCAGCTGTGGGGTGGGTGGGGTGGGGTGATGGTCATGGAAGGAGGGTAGCTCCATGGCTTAGCTGGTCTGGGCCAGCTCCATGTTACTTACAGCCAGCAAACTGGGGTGCAGAGTGTAGGGAATTGTTGCTGATTTTTTAGGAAACCAATCCTTGTCCATCCCCATCAAGTATCCCCAAGATCCCCCTCAAGCCAGGGAGATGGAYTTTGTGAGTTTTCTCTTCTTAGAAAAGGATGGTGCTTCCTGTAGCCTTTGGGGCTCATCTGTACCTTCCATACCTCAGTCCTTTCCTGTGAGTCACCACAGGCCTTGTCACATGCATGGCCTCCACCCAGAGTGCTGGAGCCTGGCCCAGCCCTGTATGCCTTGGCTGGTTCAGGAAGGAAGGTTTGCTGACTCTGTTCCTACTTTGGGATCCGGGGCACCCTAATGTACCCAAGGAAATGCTCTTGTGATCTGAGGGACCTCTGAAACCCAATTGTATGCCTTGGCTGGTTCAGGAAGGAAGGTTTGCTGACTCTGCTCCTACTTTGGGATCTGGGGCACCCTAATGTACCCAAGGAAATGCTCTTGTGATCTGAGGGACYTCTGAAACCCAATTGCAGCATTTGCTGCATTTGAATCATCCTGTCTACATATCAGAATCCTTCCCTCCTATTTATCCAGAGTTCCTAGAGAGAGGTTGTGGTCCTAGGCAAAGAGAGCAGACTTGCTGGCTGGGGAAGAATTTAGTTAACATAAAACGACCAGATGTGAGTGTGGGCAGCATGTTGCCACATGCTAGAAGGCGGCAGAGCTTTGGGCAGTGGTGGTTCAGAAAAAGCTTGCTGGAGGAGGTGAGCTTCGCCTGTAGTATGGAAGATGGGAGGGAAAAGAAGGAAGCCAGAGGTCTGTGGGTTCAGGATCATAGTGGGCTGAACCCAGTATTCCCAGGAATGACATGTAGCCTAAGGATGGAAGATAAAGAGGGGACTAGGAAGCCCTGGGAAGATAGCGTGCAGTGATATGGGGAGGATATGGGTGAGGGTATGAGCAGTGGCATTGGGAGCCACAGGGGGAGGTCATTGTGGGAGAGTGGGGGAAAGCAGGGAGCCTCACACCTCACTGGCCATAGGTCTTCTGCTGAGTGAGCCTCTGACAGGAAGGGCAACAAACTTTCTCTCTCCTTTGCCAGCTCCAAGGGGTGTAACTCACATAATCTTTTGCCATACTCTCCTCCTCCCTCTTCTGTGTCATCTCATCCCTTCCTTCTTCCTCATGTAATTCTTTTTTTGCGGCCGAGTGATCCTCAGCTCTGAACTTTTTGGAGAGGAGCCATTATCCACCCTACAGCCTAGTTTCATGGGCGCACCTGCAGGGTTGTACAGCCCAGCCTGCCTCACTGTGCCCTGGCTGAGTTCCAGTGACCTCCAATGCAGGGCAAGAGACTCTCCATATTAAGCCTTGCTCGCTYTTCTTTTGCTTTCTTCCCCCAGGCTTTGGGGTTTAGTGCCTGTGGTGGGGAGATGGATGGAATGTGGCTCAGTCCCATGCCTCCCACCTTATGACTCTCTTCCAGCCTTAGTACTGGCCGGCAGGAGCCATGGAGGTGAAGCGAGGCCCTACTGCTTATAGGGCCTGACTATCATTCATTCTCCTCCTCAGGCCAACCTCTACCCTACTGTAGGCTTGCAGACACCTGGGGAGATTGTGGATGCCAACTTTGGGCAGCAGCCCTTCCTGTTCGACATCGAGGACTACATGCGGGAATGGCGTGCCAAGGTCCAGGGCACTGTCCATGGCTTCCCCATCAGTGCCCGGCTTGGCGAGTGGCAGGCGGTGCTGCAGAAGTGAGTGCCATCCCCCAGGCCCTGTTCCAATGGGCCCCTGCAGGTTCTATAAGCTGTTCCTGGGAATTCCAGAGGGAAATATGCTTCTGGAAAGTACTCCCAGGGATTCAGCTACTGCCCTGATGCCCTCTTTTCAATAGAAAGCTGCAGTCTCTAGAGATGCCCCTATTTACACCTTTGTCCCCTCAGCCAGCTTAGAAGGTTCCTGTGTGTAAGATTACCAACAGGCTGTGTTCCTTCCCCAGGTCATTTTGCAAAGAATGTCCTAGGATTCCCCTGTGGTCTCTTCCTCTCTGCACTTTTTTCTACCATGGAGAGTATCCATCCTGCTGACTGTGGCCTGAAGTCACCTCACAGGGTCATCCAGCTAAATTCCCTGCATCTATGACAGTGGCAGCAGGAAGAGGGTCTCCCGTAGGATCAGTGTAGCTGGCTCCCTGGCTGATGAATTCCAAGACAATCTTGGAAGTCCGTGTTGCCAAGTATTGCCATGGGAGGCCAGGTTTAGTTTTGTCTTCCACTGGCCAGCTGCAGGTCTGAGTGAGGTAATGACCATCCCAACTCGGCTAGGAGGTGGGTGTTAGCTTGACTCCCAAGGGTGAGAAAGGGCTGGATTGGGCTTCTGCTCGCTCTGCTCATTGCTCTGCAATGTACCAGATGCCAGGGACCCTTGGGTAAGATTAGGATACACACTGGGTTCTTGTGTGCAGCTTTCTGTTCTTGAGAGATTGATATTGAGGCAGCACTAAGGAGAACTGAGGCAGGGGCCCATATGGTCAGGAAGAGCAGCACAGCTACCTCTAGTTCCTGGCCCCCAGAGCAGATGAGGAGCACTTCCATAGGGGCCAAGAGAGTGCCACTCCCTGCAGCAGGCTTACCCATGTGCAAGAGGAAAAGTGGAGCTTTCCAGGCCCCATTTTGGAGGGACTGATCCTCTCAGATTTCAGAGCCTGTATTCAGCACATGGGTGTTTTTGTTTACATGTGTGTACCATGTGCTTGTATGTATTCATTTTCTAAGACTTGTATATAATTTGTGTTCTGTGGTTTCACATAGCTTCATTTTATGAATATTGGGAATGGCTAACTTATCTTTGAGACAAATTTGCCACAAGCTCCTTTTCTGACTTCCCCTGGTGGGATGTTAGGTATTTTCTCTCTTTGGTGCTGTTGGCAACCCTTTCATATATAAAGAACTTTTCATATATAAGGTTAGTTACTTTCTTGGTATCCTTTTAAGAAGTGACATTTTTGGGTCAAAGGGACTGTACAATTTGGAGACACCTGATATTCATATTGACTTATCTGAACCATGTGTTGTAAAAAAAAAATTGCCCTGCATTTATAACATAGTTCTAATTATTATTCAGAATATAATATCCTTTGATAACATAATTTTGTAATAAGAGGTTGTATTTATTGACTTCTTGCCAAGTATTTTATACATATTATTGTGTTAACCCCTTAAAATAAGAGGTAACATACAAACTTTCATGCCTCCCATAAGACAGCCCTTTGGACATTTGGTTGATAATAATAGTTATATCAGACATGCTCACATACCTAGATATTTACTCATGTACACATCAGACATAGGGCTCATCCTTCTGCTGTCCATCTGTGCACACATGCTCATACACGTGTGCTACTGCTCAGATAGTTTAAAATTGGGTTAAATGGTTGCTGGGAATTGGGCCTTCCCCAAAGATTGTATTTTTGTTGGTCCTGCTGGTGCTTGTCTCTTCCCAGTGAAATCAGCCTGATAACTTGGCACATTGGGTCCCTGAGCTGTGGCATATTATGAAATGATTTTGGCATGTTGGTTAGCTCCCATCACTCTGGAGCTAGTGCTGCCACAAAACAGGCTCACCAGAGGAGTAGGACACTTATGCGTGGTACAAGCAGTCAGAGGAGCTCCTATGTTGGTGGCAGGTATGTGTGTGCCAGGTGTCCTCAGTGTCTGGGGATCTGGCACACTGCTTGGCAGGCTGCCATTTCAGGAAGTCCTGGGTGAGACCGTCAGCCACCTCTGGGCTTGTTGCAGTTTACCAGTAGGTAGCCTGGAAGCTTAAGGGCAGCATGTCCAGAGAAGTACAGCCACTCCTCTGATCTGTAAGCATTGATACAAACAGCTCCTCTTCAGCCTGATGGCATGAGCACTGGGGGGACATTTTTATTTTATTCCACCCCTTCAGTTCTGTGGAGGTTGTATTATAAGACATGTTTAGGGGAAACCTCACGGGGAGGTATTCTGTCTCATCAGAAGGTTGGTGAGAAATGCAATTCTTTTTTTTTTGGTACTGGGGATTGAAACCATGGGTGGGTGCTTAACCACTGAGCAACATTCCCAGCCCATTTTTATATTTTAGAGACAGAGTCTCACTGAGTTGCATAGGGCCTCGCTAAGTTGCTGAGGCTAGCTTTAAACTCAAAATCCTCCTGCCTCAGCCTCCCAAGCTGCTGGATTACACGTGTGCGCCACTGTACCCAGCAGAAATGCAGTTCTTGAGTGTCACTTCAAGCTCTTCCTTTCTTCTAGCATGGTCTCGTCTTACCTGGTGCATCATGGGTATTGTGCCACTGCCACGGCTTTTGCCCGAATGACTGAAACCCCGATTCAGGAAGAACAGGCATCCATAAAGAACAGACAAAGTAAGGTTAATTCTCCTCTCCCCTTCCCTCTCTCACTTGTCCCTAACTCTCCTCTGTAAACTCATGCCAACCCTGATTAACCTGTTAGGAGTCCATTCCCCTGCAGTGGAGACCAGCCTGCCACCCCAAGCTAGCCCTAAACCCTGCTCCTGACTGTCCTTCAAGACTACATTACCCAGCAGCCTTGGAGAGTCTCAGAGCAGCCTCCCTAATGCATACTCTGAAGGTCTGGCACAGGCCAAGCCTTAGCATGGCTAKATCTTCCTCTTCCGTGCTTGTTTCCTTCCTCCTGCATCCTGGATTCTACTTGGCCTCCTATTTATGTCTTCCAGAAAGAGTGTTTGCATCTTATCAGACCAACACCCTGTCTTTCAGACCATTTACTGAACCTTAGTAGTTCTGCTTGTCTCTAGCCTGATCAGACAGGGCAAAGCTGATGTTTAGTGGCTGCTTTGGTGGCACCTCTCTTTGTTCTGCAACTCTGGTCCTGCCCCTTGCAGACAACCTAATCCTTCTTTGGTCAAAGGCAACTCTCCCAATGTTCATTCTGGCCTGTGACGAGTGTGTTTGGGGCCCTTTCATGGAAAGAAGGGGACAGAGAACAAAGACCCCACACAGAAGATAGGAGGAGAGTGAGGGTGAGAGGGTGTGTATAGACACACATGTCTGTGAGTGCCTGCCTGTGTCTCTCTGAGCCTGTCATTTCTGTGTATGTGCATATGTCTGTGTCTCCCAGAGAAGCTGCACTCAGCCAGACAGATAAAAAGGGATCCCAGACTTGGGATCTATGGATGAGAAAGCCTCAGACCTAGAAGTTGCTCCCAGCAAGATGCACCAGGCCCCAGGGCAAGAGAGAGAAAGCAAAAGAAAAATGCTGGTGGCCCAGAGAGGTGTCATCATCAGAGGTGCCAGCATGAGGAGGTTGACCTCCTCTCCTAGCAGGGAGCACRCTGTAGCCCATGAAGACTGTGGAGATGCATCCCTGGCCTGAACCAGTGTACTTCTGTTGCCACTCCCCTGTGAAGCCCAGAAAGAGGAGTCTGTCTGAAGAGGAGCCCTTGGGCCACTGGCTTGCCTTGGTGCCCATTATGCTCCTTCAACCAGCCTGCCACCCCAAGCTAGCCCTAAACCCTGCTCCTGCCATCCCCCTAGCCAAGTCCTTGGCCACCAATGCCCCATAGGAGCAGGCCTCCAAACACCCCTCCTGCCTCTGGGCTGTAAGTTCCATTCTTTTTCCCCCTTATTCTTGAGGATTCCATGTCATTTGGCTGAAACCAGGCTCTGCTGAGGGACCTGGCAACCAGGTTCTCTCCTTAGCCTCTTCTATGAGCATCTCCAGCCGGCAGAGCACTCTGAGCCAGCCCATCCAACTATCACCTAGCTCCTGCTGAGACTGGCCATGTTTCAGGCTTGTGGATGTGAGGAGAATCTGTGGCCCTTYCTCACTACCATGTTCTTGCTCTCTGCAGAGATCCAGAAGCTGGTGCTGGAGGGCCGGGTGGGTGAGGCCATTGAGACCACCCAACGCTTCTACCCTGGGCTATTGGAACACAACCCCAACCTGCTCTTCATGCTCAAGTAAGTCATGGCTTCCTGTCCCTAAGACCACCCCTCAGCTGATGGCAGGAATCCACAGCCTGGGCCAGACCCAGAGCATCACTGCTGTGATCCCTCTACAGGTGTCGACAGTTTGTGGAGATGGTGAATGGCACCGACAGTGAGGTCCGAAGCTTGAGCTCCCGAAGCCCCAAGTCCCAGGACAGCTACCCTGGCTCCCCAAGCCTCAGCCCCCGACATGGCCCCAGTAGTTCCCACATGCACAACACAGGTCAGCCACTCTCCAGAGGACTCTGGGAAGAGTTTGTGTGGAGAAGAAAGGCCACCCCAATTGCCCTTCCCTGTGCTGGGCTCAGGGCTGGCAGCTGGATTGGGGGGATGGGAAAGGGGATCACTGTGGCAATATCCAGGGTCTTGCTTGGCGGCAAGCTGCCCCTCCTCCTCTGACCATCCCTGGCTTCTAGGAGCAGACAGTCCCAGCTGCAGCAATGGCATCGCATCCACCAAGAGCAAACAGAACCACAGTAAATACCCTGCACCCAGCTCCTCCTCCTCCTCCTCGTCCTCCTCGTCCTCCTCCTCCCCGTCCTCCATCAATTACTCCGAGTCCAACTCAACAGACTCCACCAAGTCCCAGCCCCACAGCAGTACCAGTAACCAGGAGACCAGGTGCCTGTCTTGCTTCACTTCCTCTGCTCTGCTTCTGCTTTGTGCTCCCTGGACCCACTGCAGTCTGTCCTTTGCTGCCCCCTGCCCTTCACCCCAACCTTCATCACAGGCCTATGCTTTTATTGCTACCTGTTAATCTGCCAAACCAGGCACTGGCTCTGGCTTCTGGCCCTACTCAAGATTTGGCTGCCAGTTCCCTTGGCCCTGACTTTCTCTGGAGGTACTAACCCTCCTGCAAGACTGAAAATGTGGTCCCCTCCCAGGGGATTCTGGGCCTTCAGAAACCTTAGCATGTAAACTGAAGCTTTTATGGAATCTAGCTTCTAGACAGCCAGGTTAGCAGGCAGGGAACTCAAGTTACAAGTGGCTTTCAACAGGTCCTAGGCATACCTTAAGTCCAAACTGAGACCAGAGATGCCCAATGGGGTCCATGAAGTCCAGTCATTGAGGATCGGGGACTATGTAATAAAGGTAGGATAGCCAGGAGGAGTGAGTCACAAAAGCAACACCAGGACAAGAATGGGAATCAAGTGACAGGCCTATGGGAATAGCTAGATAGTAGTAGGTGCCAAGTTTTGGAGCCTGGGAAGCTTTGGCTATCCTTTCATGTTCCTGACAGCCCTCAGTTTATCTACAGCAACCATGGCTAAAACCTGAATGAAGGCCCAGCCAGGTTGCTGCAACCACATCTGTTGGCCAACACCACCTCAATCCTTCTCCACAGTGATAGTGAAATGGAAATGGAGGCAGAGCATTACCCCAATGGCGTGCTGGAAAGCATGTCCACACGCATCGTCAATGGCGCCTACAAGCATGAGGACCTGCAGACGGATGAGTCCAGTATGGGTAAGGGCTGTGCTATAGCATGACTCAGCCTGATGTTCCCCAAGAGGGCAATGTATGATCCAGATRCCTCTTCCCCCTGGGAAAGGCTGATATGGCCAGACTTTGGCAGCTTGAGAAGCTCCAGCCAGACCAATCATGGATGGGTCTTTGAGGCAGCTTCAAATGTATWGGAAAAATCTAATCCTGCTGCCAAGAACAAGACTCTTGCATTTGGGGCTGGAGAGAGTTGGAGAGTGTGGACGCTCTTATGAGCACCATGCATCTCTGCAGGACAGGAAGAGGGAAAACCTCTTGAGTCCTACCTGATCCCTGGACTGTGTGCTTAGGTGGACTGAGAGCACCTTCACTCTGGCTGCTCCACCTGCTCTCCTGGCCCTCCCCTGCCTTTGGCAGAAGCTGCAGCTTCCTGGGATTTCTTCCTACCGTTCCTTCTAATGTGTTTTCTGCTGGCTTTTGGGTGCAGATGATGGGCATTCGAGGCGGCAGCTCTGCGGGGGCAACCAGGCTGCCACAGAAAGGATTATCCTGTTTGGCCGGGAGTTGCAAGCACTGAGTGAACAACTGGGCCGGGAGTACGGCAAGAATTTGGCTCATACAGAGATGTTGCAGGTACAGGACAAGCCAGGCCTTCACACAGAGCAAGCCTCTATTTGGTGCTGGGAATGGGGTGGCTCTGGGAGGATCCAGGAGCAGCAACAATAAGGCAGAGTGGCACTAGGCAGGTCTGCAATACAACATGGGGTGTTTGGGGTGTACCCCAACTCTTCAGGCTCTGGGGAAGGTACAACCCTGCCCAACACTATAGTCCTGGTATGTCAGGTTCTCACTGGGCACCATTCAGGGCCCTGTCCCCTCCTGGAGCTATGGCATCGGGTGTGGYATGTACCACAATCCTAAGAGTGCTTGTCCCTTAGGATGCCTTCAGCTTACTCGCTTACTCAGACCCCTGGAGCTGCCCTGTTGGCCAGCAGCTTGATCCCATCCAGAGGGAACCTGTGTGTGCTGCACTCAACAGCGCCATTTTAGGTGAGTGCATCTAATAAAAGCAAAGAATTGACCCAAGAATGCCTGGGTGGCCCCTCCCCTTCTCCCTGGGAAGGGCAACAAGGTCAGCACAGGTTCTATCAGATGACTCACAGGACTCCTGGACTTCCAATGCTAAACCTAAACCCTGACCTCCCTCTACCCAACTGAACTGGCTGCTAGATCATGATGGGTTCTAGGCCATGACCTTGGGCCCACATAATCATTTCACTGTACTAAATAAGGCTTAAATGCTCAGGGTTTTAGCATGACTATAAGTCCATGGCCTGATAGCAAGGACACTCACACAGACACTGAATGCTCTGGTCTTAGAGATTCTGTCAATTCCTTCACCTTCCACTCCCAAGGGAATTTTGGSCTGCAATCAAGCCCTGGACAGGGCAGTGATCAGGCCTTATATCTTCTCCACAGAGTCTCAGAACCTGCCAAAGCAGCCCCCACTGATGCTTGCTCTGGGCCAGGCATCTGAATGTCTACGGCTCATGGCCCGAGCGGGCCTGGGATCTTGCTCCTTTGCCAGAGTTGACGACTACTTGCACTAGCTGACCATGCTGGCTGGCCCTGCTGGCTGGCCCCGCCTGGCCCTCCTTCAGCCTCAGGGCTGGAGCAGCCCTGCCCTCCATAGGCACCTGGTGCAGGGACCTAGAAGCCATGGGCAGAGTCTACTCCTTCTGCCTGGCCTTTCTCTCTCTCCCTTTCCTTCCTCCTTTCCTCCTGGCCTCTGTTCCTTCTTTCCCTTCTTTCTTTCTCTCTCTCTCTATCCCTCTCTCTGCCCCAGTCTCTCTCCTCTTCACGTGCAGCGGCCTATGACACAGTATTTGGCTGATTACTCTCATGTAGCGCCTTCTCCTTTAAAGRGGGTTTTGTTTTGAGGAGGGCTTGGGGTTTTTTAATCTTTTTTTCCTCCTGACTGAGCCACCAGTGTTTATCTTGGGAGAGTTTGTGCTGAGCTGGTTTCTGCTAATTTAGTGATGAAGCCTATCCAGGTTGGTGATAGCTGATTATTTTCATAAGTAAAAAAAAAAAAATGAGATTATATATATATATATATATATATATATAAATATATATATTAAAAAAAAAAAAGACACAGTATTTATCGTAGCATTAGTGGTCCAGCACCTCTTGGGTGAGGCTGTCCAGACACCATGTGTTTTTATTTGAATCCAACTCATTAAAAAAGAATCATCTCTGTCACCTCAGCCAAGTGATTTGTTTATTTTAGGCTCCCCCTTTGTTGAGCCACAGGCCCAGCTGCCACCCAGGGAAGCTGAATAGGCTTTGAGGAGCTACTTGGTAGGCAGGGTCAGGCTAAGCTGGTTTGCAGCATCCCCAGAGGTGTGGGTCTTTAGGCCCCTGTGACCTGAACTGAGCAGAGAACTGCAGGGCTAGGAGTCCAGAGACATGAACATGAGTTAGCCCAGGGCCACACAGCAAAGCAAGGAAGCAGAGGGTCCTTGGCCAGCACACTGTCTACCACTGTACCCTGCCTCTCACTGCCTGCCTTGCCCCTCTCCCTCTCTCAATGCCCTGCCTTCCCTTTTTGTTAAGATGGCCAAATAATTCATTTACTCTCAATTGATTGCCTGGAAACTACCTGCCTTCAAGCTGCTGTGCATCACGCTGCCAGGAGGAAGACTCCATTCCCAGGACAGAGGCCCCTGAGGACAGGGGCTGCTTTCTTCCTGCCTGGGTCTTCACCATTACTGCACAGCTCTGATGGGATTGATGTTTTCTGTGGAGAAGCCAGTGCCTCATGGAGGCAGATTCTTTGGCTGCTGGTCCCTGGAGTAGATGGAACCTTTCACCCCCTGGACCAGGCTTCACTGCAGCTGTGCCAGGCCGCTTCCTGTAGCTTGGCCCCAGCCATTYTTAGGAAGAGAAAGGGACCCCATGGGCTTTACAAATGTCCCACCAGCTGTTTTCAGATGAATTCTCATAGCTGGTGGAACAAAAAAAGTCTCACTGTCACAGGAAGGGCTGAGATAGCTGCCAGGACTTGGGTGGAGCATCTGAGGAGAGGACTGGCTGCCCAGTAGGAAAGGGAAGAGGCCTATGCAAGAGGAGTACTGGAGGGCTAGGAGTTCTATACCTGCTTCAGTGTGAGGGAGAGCCCAAGCAACCCCTGCAAAGATTAGGGTAAGCCATTGCAAAGCTAGAGTTGAAACTTCCAGTACCTGTCTGGGTTTGGGCTGGTGAACTCCTGCTTCATGTTATTGGACATGGGAATGGTTGGAATGGCCAGAGATTTTCCATGCCCACTAGGCCTCATCAGGCCCACAATGGACAAGAAATTGCATTGGACCAGCTACTGGTGAGGGGCCAGGGCTCTGGCCCTGATATCTTTAGGAGTTTTACCTTAAGGGATAATTCTGTGGGCTACTTCTTTTTCTTGGTCCCTGCCATGGCTCCATCTGCCAGTCCACAAACAAGACCCATCATGAGGTATTGTCCTGTTTGTAAAGGAAATTAATTCTATGCAAGGCTAGGGATACCAAGCTCCAGTGTCAGAGATTGGAAACATCAGACTGTTAAAGTGATCAACCTAGCTGGATTGGGAATTAAAACCAGAGGCTTTTGCAGCTGCAATGGAGTTCAGAGATCATCTCTACCAGTCCTTTTCTATTTCAGATAAGAAAACAGGCCAAGGAGATTGACTTGGCCAAAGTCACACAGCAAATTAGTGGCAGAGCCAGGACTAACCTTATTCCTGTGGGTTGGACAGTACCATTTAGTCCTGAAGCTGAATGGTGGATGAGCCCCATGAAGGGTCAGGGTGGCATGGCTTCCAGCAGTGGCTGAGCAGAAGGTACCTTCAGGGGTGTGTCAGGGATGGGGATGAGTGCCTGGACTTCGGTTGTGGAGCGGCTGAGAGAGGGCCCAGGAGGGCTCAGGATACCTGTGCGCTGCATATGGGGATGGGTGTCTGCCGGGCTCACGCTCAGTACCTATGGCCACCTCCCCATTTTCTGTGCCTTATCTCACTGTTTCAGCTGAGTCCAAGTTGTTTACTGTTTCTCTCCAGAGGGGCTCTCTGTCCCAGTTGGACAGCTCACCTTTGGGACAAGCCTTTGCCCCATAAGCTGTGGAGAGGGCCAAAACCAAGCTGCTTAAATAGGCTGCCTTGCTGATAGTCCAAGCTCACCTGCAGCTGGAGGAGCCCCTTATGCGAATTCAGCCCTGCCAGCCTGCTTCCAGGAGCYTCAAGTGGGGAAGGTACCTGGGAACAGCCCTGGTGAAGGTCTGGGTCTAACTTATGGGGCAGACAGAAGACCTGGCTCTGTTGGGTTGTCCAGCCCTGGGGGAGCAGCCTTCCCCAGTCACCTTCYCCTTGTGGCACCAGATAATTGCTCCTTTTAGAGCAGAAAACTGGCAGGCCACTCAAAGCCAGAACCCCCTATTCCCATCCATGTGGATCTGTGGCTGGGTGCAGRCCATCAGAACAGGGACACCACAAAACAAAGAAGTGGGGACTACCTGGCCACTCAGCGCCTTCCCAGCCCTTAAGCAAGCACAAAGAAGATGAGGCAGAGGACTGTCGGAGCTAAAAGTTCCTTTGGTTGCTCACAACTCAGGTATGCATGCCATGTGGCAGCTGGAAAGCAGAGCCCTACTTGACCGCCAGTCCTGGGCACCTGGACCTGCGGCCAGATGGTGGCTTCTGGCTGCTCAAGTGCCCACCTCTTCGCATAGGGTTTTCCTACATTAGTAACTACAGCTGAAACAGACATACTCCACATTGTGCACACTGGTTCTGCCTTTGTCCTCGCAAGTTGATACTTGGCATTAGCATGAAACTTGTGGGCATGGGAGGGTTGGGAGAATTCTAACACAAAACATCCTATTAAAATTGTACTTGAGAGATGAAAAAAACTCTTGTTGTATTTTGACAGAATTATTTTTATTAAAATACACATCCATGAGCAGTGATGAGTGTCTGGTCTCTGTTTTGAGTTTTACTAGGGTGGGTACTTCTAGTGTGACACATCTGTCCTGGAGGAATTGGGCCCTCTTTGGCCCACCTCTTGAAGACTCAGGCCCCTCTTGCCTCCTCAAGGACCCTCAAAACTGTGGTGTTTGCAGGATCTCAAGGAGCACAAGTACTCAAGCTTCAATTCTTTTCCTGAAATAGCCCGCATCTTAGACAGTGAAAAAAATTCAGCTTCAGGAAAGTAGGCCACAGGATTTCTTCCCACAAACATGATTTAAAATATAGTCCTCAGTATCCATGGGGATTGGTTCCAGGGCCCCCATCCCTATACCCAAGAATACCAAATTCCTCATATTCAAGTCCCTTATATGAAATGGTGTAGTATTTGCATATAATCTGTACACATCCTTTTATATATTTTAATCTCTACATTTTTTTTTTTTTTTTTTTTGGTGGTGGTACTAGGGATTGAACCCAGGGCCTTGCATGTGAGGGAAGCAACTGAGCTATATCCCCAGTCCTCTACATCTTAAATACTATTTTTTATATACTGTAGAGTGTATATAGTGTTGGAGATTGAATCCAGGATCTCATGCATGCTAGGCAAGCACTCTTATCATTGAGCTACATCCCTAGGCCTTCTACATTACTTCTATAATGTTTGCATTACTAATGTAAGCACTATGTAAGTAGTGTTCTATATTGTTTAGGGAAAAATAACAAAAAACAGAGTCTTATATGTTCAGTATGGACACGATTTTTTTTTTCAGTATTTTCTGTTGGTTGAATCCATMCGTACAGAACTTGTGGACACAGGCAGTTATGTATCAAGAACCCTAATCCCCAATACTGCAGTCAGAGCTTCCTGTCAGTCTGAGGAGAAATAGCCTGTTCTTAAATTCCCAGTACAGTCAGGTCTGTTTACTGAGTGACCTCAAACTTGAGTTTCCCAGCCTTAACGTGGTTAATCCACCTATCCTGTGGAAGTAGGTGATGATAGCATTCATACAGCAGTTATTTAGCACATAGGGACTAAGTACATGCAGGGACCCTTCTCCCCTTCCTCTGTGAAGATGTCCTTGATGTGATTGGTCCACTCTTGATTCTGCCTCCCATGACCCCATAAACCCATTTTTTATGCAGAGGAGGGTTGCAGCAGAACATGCTGTTGCCCACCTGGAGGTGGGATTGGAAACAGATTGAAAGTAAAAGATTCATCTAGGAGGCCACTATAGTAGGGCACAAATAAGAGGGCAGGGTTGCACATGCCTGTAATCTCACCTATTCAGGAGGCTGAATCAGGAGGATTTMAAGTACAAGGYTGGCCTGAGCAACTGAGGGAGACTCTCAGAAAATGGCTGGGGATGTAAGTCAATGGGGAATACCTGCCTAACGTGTGCTAGCCCTGGGTTCAATCTCCAGTGATCCAATATATAGGAGACAAATGCAGGCACAAGATAAGTAACTGGTGAGGGAGATGGTAGAAGAGACAAGGTTTTGGTTAGAGTAAGTCACAGGATAAATAATGATGGCATAAAATAATGCACAGATCAAAAGGGAGCAACTGGTAACTAAAAAGTCACTGGAGCAGGGAGATTTTGCTGAGGGAGAACATGCAGAAAACTATCTCAGGGAAACATGGTTCCTAGAAAAGGGTTCTTCAGTAGTCCAGTTAATTAGAAAAACTGTCTCCTTAATGTTGATAGAGAAAGCTTTAAAAAGTTCTTTGTTAAGATATGTTGCTTAACTTTGCATTTTCCATTCTGCATCACCACAGAATGCTTCACTCATTGCACCTCACAGGACTATTACTCTATAGAACATTTAAAAAAAAAACTTGATGGTGCTAGGGATTTTCCCCAGGGCCTCATGCACACTAGGTAAGTGCTCTACCCCTAATCTACCCCAACCCCTACAGAACTCTCTTAAGGAAGAATTAATGCAGAAGGAGGAATGGGCTGTCAGATTAAGGGTGAAAGTCCTGGTTCTTAAGTAGAGCTGGAGTAGGCTCATTTTCCTCTAGACTAATGGTTCTCAACAGGGAATGATTTTACACCTCTCTTTCAGGAATCATTTGGCAATGTCTGAAGACATTTAAAATTTTTTTGTAGATGGACACAATATCTTTATTTTACTTATTTTTATGTGGAGCTGAGGATCAAACCTAGTGCCTCACGTAGGCTAGGCAAGTGCTGTACCACTGAGCTATAACACCAGCCCTGAAGATATTTTTGATAGTCACACTGGGGTTGGGGGTGCTACTGGCATCTAGTGGAAGAGGCAAGGGATGCTGCTAAACATCCTACAGTACAAGTAGGTCTCCCCACCGCTGCCCAACAAAGAATCATCAGGCCCAAAATGTCAATAGGGCAGCTGTTGATAAATCCTACTCTAGAAAAGTGGAATTCTGAGYGACTAGACAGAAACAGATCAAATGCAGACACGCTTTGATTCTGCCTCCTTTCTGTCTGGCTGTTCAGATGCAGTGGAAAAGGCAGGGAGTTTCCTGTRCTCATGCAAGTGGAGGCAGTGGTGGTTAGTCCTGACTCCTGAGCCCAAAGTACAGAGAGCCCTGCAGCTGGTTAGGTCACAGAAGGAAACAGCTCAGGTCAGCTGGCAAGTTCTGTCATCAAAGACTGCTCTGGAATCATGGCTGGGAGGCTCTCCTGAAACAGCAGAATGGAAGTCCAAGCGTCAACAAGAGAGACAAGCGGGTGGAGGTTTCCCAAGCAGAAATAGCCTCCTAGATTTCACACTGAGGCCTAACCGGCTTATACCAAAGTGTAGCCATGTTTCAAAAGGTATTTGTTGGGGGAACAGAAGCTAAAGTAAAGAAGTCAAGGGGACTGAGACCACAGTCTAGAGAGTACTGTCATTTAAAGAACCAAAGAACATCCAAAGGAAGAGGGGCCCAGAAAATACACCTGAGAAAACAGGAAGTCCAACGGGAGACCTGGCCTTTTGTAAAGATAGGTCGTTGTCCAACATAAGACCTTCTTTCATTCCAGGAAAGCCAAGGTCAATCACAATTCCCAGGACCTCCTAGTTCTTGACGCTGGTCAATTAACCAGAGGGAAGATGAGGCTGGAAGAGCACTCTAATTGGGGTCTCTCCCGCCGGAAATGAACCACTCCGGGCTTCGAGCCGAACTACTTAGGCTCCGCCCCTCAACGGATGAGCATGCGCCGCTCTCAGTCTCGGCCCCTCCCCGCCCGGTTCCACCCCCGTCATAGAGCATGCGTTGTCCTCCCGTCGTCCAGCCCCTCCCTTCCAGAATCCCCTGTTCCTTAGAAACCAGGCGGCGTGTTCCCGGTACCTCGGTGGATTCTGGAGTCGGAGCATCCTAGACATCCTCCCTCAAGGCGGACGAGTGGTTTTCGAGACTCGTCCAGACCTACAGTATACCTGAGGTGCYGGGCGGGCGATGCCAGCGTGCCAGGTAAGAGCCGGCCCGCGGCGGCGGGTGAGGGTGAAAGAGGGCATGGCGCGGCTGCGAGCCGGCGCCGGCCGGGCCTCCTCAGCTGTCCGGCGCCGGAGGTCCGAGGCGTGGATATGCGGAGCTAGGCTTTGCGTAGGGCCTGTGCTAATTGCCATGATGCGCGCCAAGTACGGGGGTCTGCCGGTGGTTCCCTCATCCCACCTCAGAAATAAGACCTGCGCGCTTGGTTTTAGAATGGGAGAATTTTGAATCCTCGAGGACCTCGAACATAACCCGTCGCTTTACAGATTCGGAAACCTAGGCTCCCTCGCCTAGTGCGGACAGACGCCCTACCTGTAGGAGGACGGACGCTTTGTGGATGAGGATGTGTAAGGTGTGGAAGCCTCAGACAAAGGGTTCTTGGGATGTCTGGTCCGTCCTTTTTCAGAATGAGATGGAACTTCTGGGGGGAAATATTTATTTAAGAAACCGGTGTTAGGGTGAAAGAAGGACAACCCAGAAGATCAAGTTGGCTCTGCTGTCTGGCTGTGTCTCGATGGCCCTGGCCTACCTTTAAAGCTCAGGAAGAAAGCAGATGGACTTGGGGAAGACAAAAGGTGAGGTAAGGCTTTCCTATCGAGGCCTTATCAAACTTGAATGGTGAAGGAAGAAGAAGAGGCCGGGAGATAAGTGTTTGTAAATGGGAGTGTGAAGAGTTTACCTTCCAGACTGCAGCAGTATATGAAGTACAGAACAGGAATGGAGAAGTTTAAAAACTGCATTGGATAGACACCAAGAAAGTTTATGAACTATTCTGTTTATATTCATTGTTCCCACGATGTCATGCTAAAGGCAAGAAACAGAAAGAAACCAGAACCAAGGTCAGGCACTACCCTAGTAATCTATGGGACACAAAGGAAGGAAGACCCTTTATTTATGGTCCTTCAATTGAAGGGAGTTGAAGGGAACCGTGTTTCACTTAAAATGTGATACGGAGTATTATGGAGAAGATGGTTGTCTTTCAATTGAATTGTGTGTGTGTGTGTGTGTGTGTGTGTGTGTGTGTGTATGTGTGTGTGGTTCTGGGGAATTCAAGGCAAGGGCCTGGTGCATGTAAGGTAAGCACCCAACTGAGCTATATCCCCAGCCCTAGATTCATTCTCTCTCTTTTTTAAAAAAATATTTATTTATATATTTTAATTGTAGTCACAATACTTTTATTTTATCTATTTATATGTGGTGCTGAGGATCGAACCCAGGGCCCCACAAGTGCTGGGCGGCTTCTCTACAGCTGAGCCACAACCCCAGCCCCCTAGATTCATTCTTGATAAGGAAACTCATTTCCTTYTCAAAAGCCACAACAGAGAACACATTTTACAGAAATTAAATATATATATATAACTGCTTTTGGGCTGGGAATTTAGATAATCTGCATGTACCAAGAGGTGAAATTTTTAGCAGGCAATTTTTTTTTTATTAATATTTATTTTTTAGTTCTCGGCGGACACAACATCTTTGTTGGTATGTGGTGCTGAGGATCCAACCCGGGCC